TTTTTTTTTTGCTATTAACATTCTTTGCACTTAATAGTATGGTTCGATCATTTTGGTTTTCTTAATTCGGTTCAGTCGGTCGACTGAACTGACCGATGGACACCCCCAGTCACAATGAAGAGAAATATATAGAGAAATAGTGACTAAACTCCGAACCAATGTAATAAAGCCACTGAAGCTCATGAACCGTGTTACTCAAAGATTTATACTCTACTTCGATTGTGGGTTTGGATATTGTGCATTGCTTCTTACTTTTTCAAGAAATCAAAGAGACACTTAGAAATATATGCAATATCTTGTAACACGATCTCTTAGTATCTTTACAGTAGCCCAGCCAGCATCTCCATAGGTTTTAGGTTCAAAAGATGAATTTGAGGCATAGAAGAGCCCTAGATGAGTAGAACCTTTTAGATATGTCATAATAGACAATGCAACTTTCCAATGGTCTGAACAAGGGTGAATGACAAACTGACTCAATTGTTGGACTAAGTATGCATGATCAAGCCTTGTTAAATTCAAATAAAGGAGCCTACCAATCAACATCTTATAACGCTCAGAATTTACAGAAATGATCTTCTTGATTGGCAATAAGAGAAAGACCAGGTGGTAAATGAGTGAAAAGTGCCTCGCAAGATACCATCTAAACAACAACTATCAAATTCTTGTTGGATAAAAAAAGTCATGTCATTTCTCTTTGTAATTTCCATGCCCAGTAAATACCTAACAACCCCGAGGTATTTAATAGTAAAGGAGCTCATGGAAATAGGTTTGTAGTGCCCTAATATCCTCCATTGAGCTTCATGTGACTAGTAAGTCATCTATATATACACCAGAATAGCCAAAAAATAGGATTCATTCTCATGAGTAAACAAACAACGATCATATGGTTATTGCACCATCCCATATGCAACCAACTTAGAAGTGAACTCTTGATTCTATACGTTAGAAGCTTGTTTCAACCCCTAAAAACTTGTTTTGAGTTTATAAGCCTCTACATGAGTGGCCTTATGATATCCATCATGAGGTTTCATATAGACTTCTTTATGAAAATATTCACCGAGAAAGGCATTATTAACATCAAAATGCGTACGAGGTCAATCCTTGACAGTGACGAATGCAATGAAATATCTCACTGTAACATCTCTGCTACGGGTGGGAATTTACCATTATAATCAATGCCTCGCACTTGATTAAATCCTTGTACAACCAACTGAGCTTATATCTTTCCACTGAGCCATCCATTTTCAATTTTACCTTAAAGATTCGCTTACTCCTATTGCCTTATCCCCTTAGGTAACATGTTTTATTTTATTTTATTATTTTTTTAATTTTGAGCTCGAACGCTTTTGAACCTAATTTCAAAACTATCATCTACTAATTTATTTGAACACGAATAAACTCAAATTTTATCGAATACTTAAATAAACTAGCTTGAATGAATTAACACGAACAACAAACATTATCAAACACAAACTCAATATGCTTAAGCTCCACTTACTCAATATGCTTAAGCTCCAATTGTTCTGTTCATACATGAACTCAAAATGCTTATTATGATTGAATATGAATTTGAAATGGTTTTGATTGATTTTTTTGTTAATCATAATTAATTTCAAAATGTGTGGTATAATTAGTTGTTAGTAAAATTTTGAGTTTATAATAAAATACTTTTTGAAATAAAATAATTAAAAATGATCTGAAGTAAAAATAAGAGAGAGATGATGTGAAATGATGACTACTAAATAATGCAAATGGATGACTAGTGAGTTAAAGTTGATGTGGTGTGTAGTAGTGAACATCGGTGCGGTTCGATAAAAAATCGAACCGCACCGAGGAAAACCAAAAACCGAATATTTATGATTTCTTTCACCGAACCGCATCGTAATAGAAGGAATAACCGAATTCGGATCGGTGCGGTTTTTCGGTTAACTGAAATTAAAAAATGATAACCACAAATTAATGTTAAGAGTAAAAATTAGGGCAAGAAAGAATAGAAATGAAAATTTTTACTCTTAAATTTTAAATGTAAATGTTTATATGATGTTGTGTCCAAATTTTTACTCACAAAGTGTAAAACTAAATTGTAAATTTTACTCACTTTATGGTATTCCGTGCACTTCGGTTAAAACCGCATCATTCTAACAGAAAACCAAACTGCACTGAAATATTTGCGATTTTTCAAAACTCAAACCGCATCGTTAACCAAACTATTAAAAAACCACACCAAATAGCTCGGTTCGATTCGATTTGTCAGTTTGGGCCGGTTTTATTCACTCCTAGTGGTGTACAAAAGTAATTTATATATTATTTAATTCAGTACAAGAATAATCATTTTTAGTGACGGTAATGTTTGTCGCTATATGTTTAAGACTTAAGAGTTAGAAATAATTGATTTTTTTCCAATCGAATTTTTATTCAATCGTACCCTTAAACGTTCAACTAGTGTGTAATAGTCTGTGAACTCTCACGTAGTGCTAGGGGTGAGCATTGGTGCGGTTCGGTCAAAAACCGCACCGCACCGAAAAAACCGAAAACCGAATTTATAAAATTTTTTCACCGAACCGCACCGCAGGAAAAACCGAACCGCACCGAACCGAAAATTTCGGGTTCGGTGCGGTTCGGTTTTTCGATTAACCGAAATTTTAAAAGATAACCACCAATTAATATTATGTAAGTAAAACTAGTGCGTATACCGTGCGATGCACGGATATATAAATTTGGAGAATATTATAATTTGACATGCATTAGGATATATGAGAGTTTAATACATACGAACATTATTCATCATAAAATGTTCGTCACTCAAAAATCTTATATTATTAAAAGCCTCTTTGTAGACAACATATGAGTTTGATTATTGTTTAACTCGTTGTGAGGAGCACAGGCCGACTCCGG